AATGTTATCTGACGAACGCCAAGCGGATGACGGCTTGGCGTGCGACGACAAGAATGTCGGGATGGCGCAATAACCTCAGGCGGGTGGCGCGGTGGCCCCTTAGGGTTTGAATCATCATTTTCAACCGAAAGCCGTGTCGATTGCCTTCCCTCCTGAGTTTGTTGTTTCCATCATGATTCAGTCCTACCGGGAAGCCGTCGCGTCGCTTGTATCTGTCTGTATCTTGCTGTCCGCACCCGGGGCACGGTGAAAATAATGTCTGAGTTTTTGAGGAAAAGTGGAAAACTTTCAGGAACTTCCAGGATTTGAGAAGAACTGCCCGTGTTTTTAAAAAAATCTTTAAAAATTAATGAAATTCTTACTTTTTTTAGGGGTGTTATCGAAGTCTAGGGTGTTTCCCCTCAAACAATCAGTCAATGTTTTTACCGTGCGCGGGGCCTCCCTCCCTACCCCGTAAAGCTCACAGATCGTCCTCACCCCGCGGCTTTCCAAGATCTCTCATCCCACAAAGTGTAGTTTTACTCCCTTTTTCATTCCCCTCGACCGTTTTAATTCCTTCTTTTCCGTCCGTCGGACACCATGCCGTGTGGAAGAAAACTGCTGATTACGTGACGGCAGCGTTTGCTAGCTACCCACACCTTCCTGCACGCAAACAGCATCGCCGGGCGCACTTGAAGGGTTATGCACCCTGACTCGATAGCTTTTTGACAGTGTTGCCAGATCATAGAATTATTATATGACAATCACAAAAATTCACCGTGATCAAAATTTTGCGTGCGCAATAAAACATCGATCTGATACTTCTTTGTCATTTTTATTCGATATTAGTTTACGAGGAGTGTATGCTTCCAGACAGCGGGCTTTGCGCAATACGTATACTGTCCCAGATCGCTCTGAAAAGCATCACCCTTTCCCAGAGCACAACAGGCGAGTGCTGCAAACCCGCCCCCTTTTGCAACCATTCATGGCATTCATACACAACTGTTGCGCCCTAGTCCAGCTGTTGATCTACAACAGCGGTTCGGACCAAGTTTAAGGATGGTTGGTTGGAAGCACACTGCTGAAGCATGGTGTCCTCCTACTTCCGGGGCCAACTGGGTGTTTCTGTTTGTCTGTCATGCAATGTCAGCAGTAACGACTGACAGCAGACAGTCTGACAGAGTCGGTCGGCCGGTCGGGAAGGCAACCCCGGTGGTACAAACACAATCGTGGACGAAAGTCGAGGTCGCTGCTTGCATGGTATAAGTGTCCAGAAATAAAGTTTTTCAACTCATACCTTGATATTTTCCCCTATTCTAAGCAGCGACACAATTCGCCATCCAGTAAGGACTTGTTTGTTTTTTGTGAAAGTCATTGATAATTTCAAAAATTGAAACATGTTAAAGAGACTTAATCTCGGCTTGTTAAGTTGTGTAGTCTATCAATTGAAAGCTTTAGGAAAGGAAAGACTAAAGCGCTGACATTATAACAAATTTTATTGCAAGGAACTACTCCATAGTGTACTTTACTCTTAAGCCGGACCACTATCCATCAAACTTTGTATGTAAATTTTTGTATTATTACACCCGCGGGGGAAGAGGGGGTGGGGACGCGTACCTTGGTTTCCAGTGTGTGTGTGGGGGGGGGCGGTGCTACCTCGATCAGACTCCATATCCCTCACTCGTCTTTCACGACGAATAGGCCCGCAGTAATAAATCGCCTTTTGTCACATCAATTTTTATGAGAATGAAGCAGCCTTTCCCCTCTGTAGGCGCGATGCGAGTAGGCCGAGCGTTAATTTGGTCGGGGAGCGCCCGCGGCCTCATGCGATACGGACCCTTTCCAATCGAATAAGATTATTACAGTCGGGCCTTGCATTCCTCCGTCCGCCCTTGCACCTTGCGGCCCCGAGTGTGTTTCGCGTGGAGCACAGACTGACTCTAGAGCGGACTGTTGCTCCGCCCGTGCACTGTGATGAAAACTTGGGGAAACACTGCGAATCACGTGAACGTGCGCTGCTGCGATAACTTGGCAGAGACACTGGTCAATGCGTCAACTGTTCTGGATAAAAACCTGAAGGGGACATGAATGTAGCTAAAGCATTAATGATGAATGTTGATAAAAAGTAGCTGGAAGAAACCGCCAGCATATCGCAACCCGAGGGCGTTGGCGTTATCACTTGCGTAATACCGGGTATACACCTGATCTATGCACCTCGTGAAATGTAACACCGCAAAATAACAAAATATGACTATTAATGTTAGAATTGAGGGTGCTATACTTGTGAAATGCCAGCAAAATACCAGCGCCGCGAAATACACTTTTTGGGGGGAATACTCGGAATACACGAAAATCTGATGCAAAAACTCCCTCGCATCACGCAAAAATTCCGATTTATTCTGCGTGGACATTTTGCCTGTGTTGAAAACGAAGAAAAGGATTTAACTCCCTCCCGCGTGGTGCCGGCTCCTGCGTTGTTGCCGTGCGGTGCCCAGGCGGTGCCCAGGCGGTACCGCCGCCATCGCGCTGCCCGTCCCCGTCCCCCCCTTCGGCTCCGCCCTCTCCGTCCGTCCGTCGCTCCGTCCGCCCGTCTGCCCCAACCGTCCCACATGCCCTGCCCGGTCTCATCCATCACGAGTTCAAAAAGAAGAAAAAGGTATTTATTGGCCGGCGTGGTGGGGATTCGAACCCGTGACAGTCTCGACATGAAATATTGAGCGGCCGTGCAGTGCGCCCTGCCCGCCGCCCTGCCCGCCGCCCTGCCCCGCCAAAGTATAATCGCTGTTTTAGCATCGAGTCGAATCCGACCCTGTACATCAAACTCGGCAAAAAGAATAGCGACGGTAATGGTTTGCCGTAAAGAAGGTCCCCGAGCCTGCTTACATTTTGGGGGCTCAATTTTCATTTCTCTCCCTCTCTCCTTCTCTCTGTCCCTCTCCTCCCTCTCCTCCCTCTCCCCCCTCCCTCTCACTCCTCCCTCCCTCTCTCTCCTCCCTCTCTC